TATAGGCAAACATTTTACCAGCATTTGAGCCCTGTGTCATGTGGAGAGGTTGTCCCGCTGAATAAACCCTGGTGGCTTCCCTGCAGTTCAGGGCTCGTGGGGTGAGACGAAGGGGGTGAGAGCTCCTGATCAGCTGATGTGGCCCACAGGATGACCCTCAACTGGCAATGGTTACCCCTGCTCCCGGCCTGCCCATCTCCGGTAATCCTGTCCCCAGCAATCTCGTCCCACTTACCTTGCTCCACTGGTCCTGTCAATGTGTTGCTCCAGGCTGGATGCAGTCCCACAACTGACCACTTCTCCCAGTAGCCCTGGCAATGAAGAGCTTCCAGCCCTTCAATTGACCGATCACTTTAGAAGGTTGGTTCTTATCCTTTTAGAAAGGAGGGAGGCCTGGCTGGTAGCTCATGAGTCGCCTGATCGCCACAGAATTTGAACAAGGTTTGGTGACACACTGTGAAAGCTAAGACTGCGCTGACAAAATCTGGGCCTATGAATGCAAAACCCTCTCCACATGTAAAAAGGGTCACCCACTTGAAAATTTAACCCAGATCCTACCTCTATAGATCTGCCGAATGGTTTCAGCATTTTCAGCATCCACAGTCACCTGAATTTCAGCACGCCTCTGGGCTCATGGATAGAGATAATCACATTATGCATGTATCAGCAAGTAGTCATTTTCTCCAGCAGCTTAAAACAGACTGCCTATGTTCACGTGGTCAAATAACTTGGTGTGACCAATCAATGCAACGTATAGCGGTCTTCTATCCGACAGACTGAGAAAGTCAGGAGAACCGTAAATCTTTTAGTTATAGAACTGCACTGGGATTCAGGAGGTGCATTCAGCCAAAAGTTTCAGTCCAATGAGGGCATCAGAGAAACATAATATTCCCAGTACTCAGCAGCAAGTTATCTTAATAGTTATTGCGAACACTGCAGTCTCCTGCTTCTGGAAAGCATCCCAATCTTTACTTCATGCATAGCCTGTAGCGCTACTCCCTGCCTCCAGCAGAGACAGAGAAGTCCGAGCAGATGCTGCAGGAATGTTGGTTTCCAGTGCTTTAAGTTGAAGTCGTATTGCATCAATACCTAGACCACCGCCAATAGCAACTTAGTCAATCGCTCTGCCAAGAAATTCCACTTTGGGTTTGATATACAACACTGCCTGACAATCAAATATTCCCTTTCCAGGTCAACATGTTAGGCAAGGTCGCTTTTCAGGGTAACATCAGAACCCTTTGAGATCCACAGTGAGGTCATCAACAGGATAGCATTCTTGCACAGGAACTCCTTGGTACATTCTTCTCTTGGCTGCTACCATATCCAAACTTGGACTTCAGGAAGTAATGTGACAGTGACTGCCTTTGATATCAAGGCTGCATTTTATTGGAGTATACCATGAAGCCAGTCCGGCAAAATCACAGTCAATGGCATTAGAAGAAACCACTGCTGCTTGGAGGCACAAAGATGATGGTTTGGATGTTAGAGGAATGTTACCACTGCATCACAAGTTCCGAATTCCTCAGGGTACTATCCTGCGCGAAATATTTTCAGCTGCTTCATTAAAGACTTTCCTTCCACCACAAAGTCAGAAGTGGGGATGTTTGCTGATGATTGAACACTGTTTAGCACCATTTGCGTTTCCTTAAGTACTGAAGTAGAACCTGACCATTTGCAGCAAAACATGGACAACATCCAGACTTGGGCTGATGTGTGGTCAGTAACATTTGCGCTACACAATGACCATTTCCAAACAAGAGAGATTCCAACTATCATCCTTTGATTTTAATGGCAATACCATAACTGAAACCACCCACAATCAACATCTAGGGTTATCATTGTTCAGAAACTGAACTGGACCAACTATATAAAGTGCTACAAGAGCAGATCAGAGGCTAGGAATTTTATGGCAAGCAATTTATCTCCTGTCTCCCTGACACATGTCTAACATCTACAAGACATATGTCAGGAGTGTGATGGAATATTTTCCACTAGCTTGGTTGGGTGCAGCTAGAACAACACTCAAGAAGTTTGACAACATCTAGGTCAAAACAGCCCGCTTGACTGGTGCCACTTCCACCAACTTCAATGTTCATTCCCATCACCAAAGGCCAGTTGCAGTTGTGTTTGCCACCTAGAAGATCAAATACAGTAACTCACAAAAACTCCTTCAACAGTACCTTTCAAACTTGCAACCTCTACCACCTCAAATGACAAAGGCAGCAGATATATGGGAACATTACCATCTGTATGTTCCCCTCCAAGTCCGACAGCATCATGACGTGGAAATATATTTCAACTTCTTCATGGCTGCTCAGTCAAAATCCTAGAACTCCCTCCATAATAATACCGAGTCTTTACCTCAAATCAAGGATTGCAGCAGTTCAAGAAGACAGTCCACCATTCCCTTCTTCAGGGCCATGGGACATGGGCAACAAATTCTTGTCTTGCCAGCAACGCCCACATCCCTTGAATGAAAAAGAAAATGTCTTCACGTCATCTTCAAAAAAATGTCTGTTTAAGTAACAGAATTGATGGAAAGTTTGTCCAAAGACAAAGTTGCACCAAGTCCTCAGACAACGCTGCACTAACATTCTGTATTGAGGAATACTTTCAGCAAATGGACAGCTTCTCTTCTGCCTGTGTAGCTTGGTTTGACAATTAGCATCAGGGAGAGACCAATGTCATAGCTCAGGTTGTAACATATCATGATCTATCAGAATTGACAATGAAAAGCTTGAGGAATGTTCATGGCTTCACATATCTAGACTCCATAAGCATTAGCAATCTGTCATTTGATGCTGAAATCAACATGCATCATAAACGCTGCAGCTGTTAAGTCCAAACTGAGTAAGGGAGTGACCAAACCATGAGTCTGCAAAGCCTGCATCCTCAGTGCACATTTCTCTACTTGTGAAACCAAGATAACTGATGTTCAGCTGGAGAAAAGGATTGATAGTTTCTATCGTGGGTGTCTTTGACATGCGCTGGGAGGATAAAGTCACCAACTCACAAATTCTGGGGTATACTAATTGCATCCAAAAACACTCATTGCTAAGCCAATGATGTCAGCACTGGCCCAGTCACTTTCATCAGGCGGATGAGGGCTGTGTAGCCTCTAGGGAGGAATAGCAACCGGCTTACAAATAATGATGTCCATACTTCCATTACAAGGACACCTGATAGGAGATAATGGACCAAAACTAAAGAACTGAGGATGCTGGAAATCAGATATAAAATCAGAATTTACTGGAAAAACTCACCAAGTTTGGCAGCATCTGTGGAGAGACAGCAGAATTAACATTTCAGGTCCAATGATAGATTGGCGATGAAGCCCAGACAGAGTGTCCCCTATTAGCAGCTCTACATTCTCCCAGGCTGACCTTTACCCATTCCTTTGGTTCCAAACTGATTTTCTGTCTATCTGGACTCCATCTCCACCTGTCGCTTACTCTTTTCCCCCACCCCCAAAATGTTTTTAGCTGCCAGCCTTTTGCTAGCTACAATCAGCTCTGAAGAAGGGTGACTGGACCTGAAATGTTAACTCTGCTTTCTCTCCACAGATGCTGCCAGACTTGCTGAGTTTTTCCAGCAACTTCTGATTTTGTTTATGAAGATAATGGATATTGAAACCGGCAACTGGGAGACGGTTCGCTGACGATTGTGATATGTGGAGTTTCACCATTTGGAAGGGCATTGGGAGAAGAGGGCAAAAATAACAAACTCTGCAGGCTAAGAAGAGGGCCCAGGGAAAACAACATGCCCATTCCCAGCCCACTGTCTTCCTCCACTGCAAATGTAGCACAGACTGTTATGCCAGGCTGGTCTCCAGAGTTACCCCAGCTGACACTGCACACAGAACTGACAACATGGTGCAAACTAATATCTTATGAGTCAGAAGGCTGCCACACATACCTCTAAGCCATGAATCAATTTGGTGCCTTTTTTTAAAAGAGTATCTTTTGAACAAATTGCTTTGTAATTATACAATTTGCATTTAGTGACCACCAGCAATAGTATGATTTAGTCTCAGCTGGGATCCACTACTTGTCTACAACAGCATTTTGGAATTCACTACCCTGGATAATACACTCCTTATGGAACCTTATTTTTGGAAGTTTGGTCCACAAGGTCAGTTCAGAAGATGAAAGGCAAAACATTATCCGCATGTGGTAGAAAATGCCGCAAATACAAAATATGATTCACGAGCACACTACTTCAAAAAGGATTCAGTTTCAGTACAAATTACAGAAATGGATCACATTATAAACAATTCTAAATCTCTTCAGCGAAGGAAACTTGCAACCTGCTCATAAGTATTATTTCAAATAACAATAACGTGTAGCTCACTAATGGTGCAAATCGGGCAAGCTACTCACTTTGGCAGAGTAGAAAGGAACTATTTCCTGGGTCTTAAAACAAAATGTCATCACAATTTTGATATCCTATGGCAATGGTGCACGAGGTTACAACTGACACACCACCACTACTCAAACCTATTCCATGACGTTAATAGCTTAAACACACGTCAGCTCACCAAAAATTAAATGCTGGAATAAAGATGGAACACCACCAAAATAGTGAGCAAAGGATTAACAATGCTGGGAATGATGCAAGCACAGTGTTTTTATACGCATGGGATCAATATCCGGTACCAGTTTACACAAAGCACTGAAACACATCACTGTAATGATGTCGAAAGGAAAAGGCTATGAGGATTGTGTTACAGGGCAAATCGGATGGCTTTTAAACAAACAGACTGTAAAATCTAGCTGAACTATTTCTGAGAGTCTGGATCATTTATGGTAAAACCGACTGAGGAGGACAAAAAAAGCTTCAGAACATTTATTGGCCATTTGGTTGACTGTGCAAATCTTATAAAAATAGTTGAAAACTAGCAGATGTTTAATTACAAAGCCATGTTCCAAAAGTGTCCATTTTATTACAGCAGCTGATGGTGGAGCAGATTGCCTTCACAAAACAGATCATGGATATCTTACCTGGTACATTCCAACTCCAATGTGTTTTGGCTCAATTTTCACCAACTCAGCCAGTGGATCCTGAACACGCCTTGCTATAGAGACTAAGGAGAAGAAATAAACAGAAAACATGTTACTGATGAAACTCGATTTATAATTCACAATGTCAAAATTTTCCTTCAGCTTCATTCAAATTTTTGTAAAGATCATACATCAAAGTGAGTGTGTTTTAACAAAGAGGACCTTCAATAAAATTCTCTTTCAAATTCAAGAATGAGGAGTGTTAAGGTGGATAATTGCAACAGTTTGCATTGATGAAATCATCCTGTAATAAATTAAGTAAAACTTAGCAAACTATATGTTTTGCCAACATTTAAGCTTAAATGTAAATCTTTTTGTTCAGTTAGATCACTAGATCCTAAAGCCAATTATGCTAATTGCCTCAACTACTCCTTGTAATAGCATATTCCACATTCCAATCACGTTTTGGGTAAAGAAGTTTCCCATGAATTTCCAGTTGGATTTAATAATGATCATTCCACATTTATGTCATCTAGTTTTAAACTGCCCAAAATGAGACTTTTTAAAACTACATTTATCATACCAAAACTTTTCATTACCTTAAAGACCTTTAGCAAAAGATTGCAAGAGTTTTTTTTCAGATATTTTAAAGTTAAGAGAGAGGCAAGAGTGGATACTGGGCCACTGGAAAATGAGGCTGGAGAAATAGTAATGGGGAACAAAGAAATCGTGGAGGAACTGAATAGGTACTTTACATCAGTTTTCACAGTGGAAGACACCAGCAGCATACCAGAACTTTGAGAGGGTCAGTGGGCAGAGGTAATGGTCATTACTGAAAAGATGATGCTGGGAAAGCTGAAAGGTCTGAAGATGTATAAATCACCCGACGGCCTACACCCCAGAGTTCTGAAGAAGATAGCAGAGGAGATTGTAGGGGCACTGATGGTGATCTTTCAAGAATCGTTGGAGTCAGGGAGGGTGCAAAGGACTGGAAAATATCTAACATAACACCTTTGTTTAAGAAGGGAAGGAGGCAGAAAGCAGGAAACTATAGGCCAGTTAGCCTGCTCTCGGTCATTGGTAAGATTTTAGAGTCCAATTATTAAGGATGAGATTGCAAAGTACTCGGATGTGCACAGTAAAACAGGGCCAAGTCAGTATGGCTTTGTCAAGGGGAGGCCATGCCTGAAAACTCTTTTTGAATTCTTTGTGGTGGTAACAAGCAAGTTAGATGAAGGAGAGCTACTGGACGCAAGCTATTTGGATTTCTAGAAGGTCTGTGACAAGTCACAGCACCGGAGAATGCCAAGTAAGAGCCCACGGTGTTAAGGCAAGGTACTAGGATAGATTGAGGACTGGCTGACTGGCAGGAGACAGAATAGGGATGAAGGGACATTTTTCAGGATGGCAGCTGGTAACTACTGGAGTTCCACAGGGGTCAACATTGGGACCACAACTACACATTAAAGATCAAGACAAAGGAACCTAGGGCACTGTTGTTAAGTTTGCAGATGATGCAAAGATAGTTGGATGGATAGGTGATGATGGGGAAGTGGGAAGGCTGCAGAAGGACATGAACGGGCTATGAGAGATTGCCAAAGAAGTGACAGGTGGAATATTGTTTTCTAAATGAGGAAAGGCTTCAGAAATCTGAAACACGAAGGGACTTGGGAGTCCTAGTTCAGGATTCCCTTAAGGTTAACGTGCAGGTTCTGTTGGCAGTTAGGAAGGCAAAGGCAATGACAATGTTAGCATTCATTTCAAGAGGTCCAGAATACAAGACCAAAAATGTACTTAAGTTGTATAAGGCTCTGGTCAGACGCCATCTGCAATACTGTGATCAGTTTTGGGCCCTTTATCTAAGGAGAGATGTGCTGGTATTGATGGGGTCCAGAGGAGATTTACAAGAATAATCCTGGGGATGAAGGGCTTGTCATATGAGGAGTGGTTGAGGACTCCAGGTCTGTAATTCATGGGGAGGTGCCGGTGTTGGACTGGGGTGGACATGGTCAGAAATCACACGACACCAGGTTTTGGCCAACAGGTTTATTTGAAAACACAAGTTTTTGGAACCTCAGTTCTTCTTCAGGTGTTAGTGAGAGAAGTAGTATCAGACACAGAATTTATAAGTAAAAGATCAAAAGTTCACATCATTGATGAGGATGTACTAAACAAACCTAAGATACCGTTAAATCCTTAATCAGTTAGGAGGTTTTAACTGATTAATATGTATGTGTAAATCCCCGAATTCCTTTCAAGTCACGGCCCTGAGAGAACTAAAGGTTTTATCAGTGTAAACAGGAGGTGACGTTTTAGGTCAGACAATGCATGTTAGGTCTAAGGCCTTGTTTAGAAACTGCTTATGTTTTAGTTTGGAGTCAGACTGGTTTTATTTCTTGGGTAGGAATTTATAAAACACTGTATAGGACTGTCTAAATTGTGTGCTTTTTGAACAAAATAAAATGTATCTGCAAATACAAATTGCATGTGTGTTTGTGTGTGTGTGTCCACGTGATGCCTCACCAAAGAAGGAAAGTATCTGATATGCCTTCTTCATCTGATATACTTCATCTACCTGTACTTCCACCCTCCAAGTTCTCTCCCTTCCTCGCCCTCTCAATATCCTTTCATTTATTATGTACTCCATTGTTCTGCTTGCCCTCCCTAAACGTATAACCCCACACATTTTCTGCCATTCAGCCAAACCACAGATATTATCCTGCAATGAACAGCTATCCGCTTCACCTTCAACTGCCATGTGGAAACTACCTGGTCAATTTTGCATTGCTGGCAAATTTGCCAATCGTGGGAAATTTGAGTTCAAATCATTAATTAGTACAAACAGGCAGTGACCCAACACTGAGCCTTGTGGTAATAACCAACAGAAACTGCTTTCCATCTGTCAACAATACCCATCGTTTCCTATCGCAGAGGCAATTTTGGATCCAATTTGCCACATTCCCTGGTATCTCATTTGCATTAGTTTTTTTTTCTTACCAGTGTGCCATTTGGGACATTGTAAAATGGCTTAATAAAATCCCATGTAGACATCTACTGAACTACTATTGCAGCACTATTGTTAGTGTCCCTACCTCTGAGTCAGAAGGTCCAGGTTCAAGTCCCACTTGCACCGGACATGCATCATAACATGTCTGAACATGTTGAGTACAAATATCTACAGGGTAGGCGATGGCCTAGTGGTATTACCGTTAGACTGTTAATCAAGAAGTCCAGCTGATGTTCTGGGGACCCAGGCTCAAATCCCACCATGGCAGATGGTGGATTTGGAATTTTAAAAAAAAGTCTGGAATTAAGAATCTACTGACCACCATGAAATCATTGCCGATTGTCAGAAAAACCCATCTGGTTCACTAATGTCCTTCAGGGGAGGGAATCTGCCACCCTCACCTGGTCTGGCCTACATGTGACTCCAGACCCACAGCAATGTGGCTGACTCTCAACTGCCCTCTGAAATGGCCTAGCAAGCCACTTAGTTGTACCAATCACTACAAAGGCTCAAAGAAATGAAAGTGGACAGATCACCTGGCATCGACCGAGGCACTGGAAAAGACAACGGCAGAAACAGCCCTGTCGACTGTGCAAAGTCCTCCTCACTAACATCTGGGGGTTACTGCCAAAATTGGGAGAGCTGTCTCACAGACGAGTCAAGCAACAGCCTGACATAGTCATACTCATAGAATTATACCTTACATACAATATCCCAGACACCATCATCACCATCTCTGGATATGTCCTGTCTCACCGGCAGGGACAGACCCAGCAGAGGGGACGGCACAGTGGTATACAGTCGGGAGGCTGCTCTAGGAGTCCTCAACATTGACTCCATACCCCATGAAGTCTCATGGCTTCAAGTTAAACATGGGCAAGGAAACCTCCTGCTGATTACCACATACCATCCTCCTTCAGCTGATGAATTGGTACTCCTCAATATTGAACAACACTTAGAGAAAGCACTGAGGATGGCAAGGGCACAAAATGTACTCTGGTTGGGGAATTTCAATGACCACCACCAAGAGTGGCTCAGCAGCAGTACTACTGATTGAGCTGGTCAGGTCCTAAAGGTAATAGCTGCTAGACTGGGTCTGCAGCAGGAGGTGAGGGAACCAACAAGATGGAAAAACATACTTGACCTCATCCTTGCCAATCTGCCGGCTGCAATTGCATCTGTCCATGACAGTATCGGTAAGAGTGACCATCGCACAGTCCTTGTGGAGACAAAGTCCCACCTTCACATTGAGAACAACATCCATTGTGTTGTGTGGCACTATCACCATGCTAAATGGGACAGACTTCACACAGATCTAGCAACTCAAGACTGGGCATCCATGAGGCGCTGTGGGCCATCAACAGCAGCAGAATTGTACCCTAACACAATTTGTAACCTCATGGCCTGGCATATCCCCCACTCAACCATTACCATCAAGCCAGGGGATCAACCCTGGTTCAATGGAGAGTGCAGGATGGCATGCCAGGAGCAGCACCAGGCACACCTGAAGATGAGGTATCAACCTGGTGAAGCCACCAAGCAGGACGACTTGCACGCCAAACAGCGAAAGCAGCAAGTGATAGACAGAGCTAAGTGATCCCACAACCAACAGATCAGATCTAAGCTCTGCAGTCCTGCCACATCCAATCGTGAATGATGGTGGACAATTAAAAATCTCACTGGAGGAAGAGGCTTCACAAATATCCCCGTCCTCAATGAGGAAGAGCCCAGCACATCAGTGCAAAAGATAAGGCTGAAGCATTCTCAGCAATCTTCAGCCAGTAGTGCCAAGTGGACGATCCATCTTGGCCTCCTCCAGTGGTCCCCAGCATTACAGATACCAGTCTTCAGCCAATTTGATTCACTCCACGTGCTATCAAGGAACGGTTGGAGACACTGGATACTGCAAAGGCTACCAACCCTGACAACATTCTGGCAATAGTACTGAAGACTTGTGCTCCAGAACTTGCCGCTCCCTTAGCCAAGCTGTTCCAGTACACTCTAAGGTTTTGGAGTCGATCTGTAGCTCGGGTTGTGGGTGTTGAGGTTGGTTGGCAAACCAGCTCAGCGAGCCAA